CCAGAAGGATGTGTGAAACATGGACTATAGACGACCCCAGTGTTGATCTCAATGCCAGTGGGACCCGAGGCGGTTGGACAACCACAGACTTAAAATCAGCATTAAGACCCATATTGCCTCATCTCCACAAAACCTGTTTTATTATCTGCTCCATAAATGATATATTCAAGAAAGTACCCCCGAATCAAACCAAATCAAATCTTAAAATCATTACAACCCTCATTAAAGCCAGCAATAGAGACATTATAATTTCGACCATTCCCCCCACCCTCAACAGAAACCCACAACATCAAAACCAAATCAAACAAATCAATGTGTTTATACAATCGTTACATAATCCGCCCAGAGTACGAGTGTTACAATTTCATAAACAATTCCAACCGTTAACTACAATAAAGAAGAATGAATACTTCAAACACACTTATAAAAACGGCAGAAGAGATATTGTCCATCTGTCGAGAGAGGGTTATCGCCTGCTTATCGCATCACTGACAACAATGTTATCGCCGCTCTCTGTCTAACCATTGTTGAGCGCCCGCCCCACCCTCCCCAGCTGACAGCACTACTATCGGACCATTGTTGGGTCACTGTGCTACTGATCCACTAGAGCCATTACACCTGTGCCACTACGCTGCCGACCAACAACAATGTACGAGCCCAGCTGTTCACCACCTCGGACAACACGCTCTGCTGATTACCACATGTGGTAAATCATAGTGTCTATTCTGTGCGCGGGATGCCTTTGTGTGTTTAATGAGGAAATGATCAGTTGGTGTCCTTGTCATAAAATAGATCATTGTAATAGTTTAGTATTGTTGTTACCATTATTTAAATTGTTGTTGCCTGATTGTTGTCGTTATTGTTGATTGTAAATTGTAATTGTGTTCATGTGTATCGTCGTGGTCCACCGGCTAGGCCAAAAATGCTCCGAGGTAGTACGATAGGTTTGACTGTCCTAGGCCGATCACGGATCATTTTTTTCTGCTAGGGGGCATTTTGTACCGATTTTGTTGTAAAAGGCAACAAATCAATACAGGTTAATGCGAAGAACAGTCAGCTGGTTTCAACAATAGATCAGTATAGACTAGAATGCACCACGCACTAAAGACGGAGAGGGGATAAGGTTTAGCCGGGCGGCCATCTGTTTAAATCAGTACTCAGTCCTTACCCAAGTCTCATCGTAGCTAGTTCGGTAAAATTGTTTATCGTTCGTGGAAATTAAATTCATTTCGCGGCGTTTGGTCGGCCAATCTTAAATTTCCTTAAAGTCGTTCAGCCTATATCCCTAAGGGATATAATTGCCTCGCGATCGGAAATTAGAATCAGTGTTTTTGTCAAAAAGTGCAAAAGTTCGTTACCGGCCAAACGCAGTCCGCCATTTGAAAATTTCTCAAACGATTCACGAGTTCAATTGATCGCGTGTTGTAGTATACCGGCTAGTTACGTTTTCCCATCCTTTCCCCTTTGTGTTATATTTGTGGACGTCCAAACTGTAAGTAATTTTGTGTATTTATTTGTTAAATTGAGATTTTCAGTGAGTCGCACTTTGGTAAATTTTCCTGTCTTGTTTTGTCAATTCATGTAGAATAAGCACATGTTCATAGGTTCGATCACAATTTGTTGATTTTTAAATCCATTCATATTGTTGCAATCCGCTTTATTTATTAGACTGTGATATTTCTATAGTATTAAGAATAAATATATGAAAATGTTTTTATAGGGTAATTCAGAGTTGCTTTGTAATATTTTTATATAGTATTTGAATTTTGCACAGAGTCATTATTAAAAGTACAATTCGTTACAGAGTGTCACAATCAGCATTTTAATTTGGGGGAATCATTTAATATCAAAGGAGGGATTAGGTTGCTGGTTCGGCTGAATCGGGAAGTGTTATCGGAGGCTGTGCCAGTTTGCATATAGACGAACCGCCAAAGTGCCAAATTAGCTATAAAACAATAAGCAACGTTCCAGTAAATATTATTACGATTAAACGCAATACTGTTTAATCAGTTGACCTTCGAGAATCGACCTTCATATTTACATCGTTGGCCAACGAACAGGACTTGTTTGGCACTGGTCGTCTCAAATTAAATTAAATACCACTCCTCCGTTGACACCTTCGAGATCGGTGTGAAACCGCGCCAAATATTCCCCTTTGAATAAATCCGTTCAACATTCTCAGACAGATCAATTCCGTCTGATTGTGTCACTCAAGGTCATATTTTTATATTGCACCACACAATCAGAAACTGTCAAACTGGAATCATTGTAAATCTTAAATAATGCTTAATAAATCAAATTGTACTCACTTTTAGTTCTCAATAACCTGGTAATTCTTTATTATATGCTATAGTATCAAATTGGTAAACAAAAGGTAATTCAGTAAATAATAGGCCACTACAAAAGATTCACCTTTTAAGTGCAACACTAAACACTAGTGTAGTAGTGAGCAAGTAAATTCGGTGTAGAATTAAGACTGGTAAATTGCTCTCATTAAAGGTATTACTTTTTGGAAGAACTACAAACAGTGCCAAGGGCGTCCCCTAAGGACCTTTTGGGAATATTTATATTTTGCAGGGCCCACTCATATTTTTTCAATAACATCAAGCTTCCACTGCCAAAAAGCTCTGTCTGATATTTTTATTTTCTGGAGTTCTTCCAACCCAGGGGCAACCAACATTTGTAAAGATTCATTTGAGAGCATTGCAAGGAGCAAATATATTTAAATACAATATTTAAATATATAAAAGTAGTAGGAGGGAGTTGTTTTTATTTTTCTTTACATATTGTACAATCATTATTATTGTGCAATAATGACATTTAAAATCATTTATCTTGGTTCAGTTGTACAAAAACGGCAACGTTTAAAATTACAGCTAACGCAAACTCAACTAATAACTAGCCAAACACTATGCTATAAATAACGTAATTAAACCTTAGAAAGTGTTATAAGCTACTGCTCATGATAGACAGGTAGGCTACCGGTAGTTGCTGTATCACAACATAGGAATTGATTGATAATTCATAAAAAAGTTTAAAATTATATTTAGAGATAATAAAAACACTCTTAAAAAATAATGTAACGAGAACAATATTTTAATTCTTATTCTTTGTTCTTTATTAGGTTTCTTTTCAATTCATACACAAATTCAACAAGTCAGCATATTTAGGCCTACTCATTGCCCAATCACAGCCTTACTAAAGTTACCATGGTTACTAATCACTCAATCGCAGTTTACTAAGCATTATATCGTCATTATTCCCCAGCTCTGTTAACATAGCGCACAGAAGACAGAATTGTAAAACGGAGCAGACGATTGTTGGCGCAAGCGTTGAAGTTGAAGTCATTTTTCCATTTCATTTTAATCAAAGGAGCTGCGATGTTTCCAAAACGATTATGTGGGAGGGAGAGGGGGTCGTTATATTAAGAGAAAGACGCTGACAATTCGTTAAGCAGAGGTTACGAACGCTATGTAGAAATTCTGGCAATAAAAATTCCTTAATTTGGTTAAGTTTTCCAGTCCTGTACAACACTGATTCACGGTCTTTTCCTGGTAACGGAAATTCAAGTACAACTTGATACAAACAGAATCTCCGGTTCACGACCTGGATGATGGCTAGTTATTTAATTTAATTTACAGTTACATATTAGTACCCGTGATAAATCAAACCCGTTATATAGGCCACACGGTTATTAATCTCACTTGGTTTTGGATTTGCTTACAAACGTGATCGGTAATGGTTAGGTAGGGCCTACACATAGTATTCGTAAACAACATTTATGTAAACATATCAGTGACAGCTAGAAAAAAGAATCTTTATCAAAACAGCTGTTCTTAATTTCATATATGACGTGTTCTCTTAACACATTATTAGTATTTCATAAATGACGTATGTGGTAAACATGGAGAAAAAAAACCAAAAAATCACACAAAATTTTGGTTTTGATCGTCTGTTATTTTATTTCCAAAATAGTGATGCCATATTTTAATGGCTAAGGACACTCTCGCCAATCCTGTGAATACAATAAAACCATTAGAATCATAATCGGTACTCTAGCTTTCTTTAGAGTAGGCTACGTAAAATGCCTTCTGGGCCGTGTGATAAATTGAAATAAGAAATGTTTCAACTTCTTTAATGTATAAACGTAAAAATAACCCAAAATATGTATAATTCTGAGCAATGTACAGACAAAACTATAACTTTATTTATATAGATTAACTCGGTTTGAATTTTCAATATCTAAATAAATGTATAAAATTTATTTTAGTTTTACAAATAATGCTGGGCGGGGGAATAATGTTTCTCATTTGTTGTGTACCGTACCTAATTTATTGTGGGGGGGGGCTGGTGCTCAATTAGGGGGGGGGGTTGCATCATGAGTCTAGGGGGGGATGGGCACCCCTGTTAATATCATTATTTTTTTACACTTATTACTCTTTAAACAATGCTATAAATGCTCAAAATATGTATATTTTTACTTAATTTATTGCAGTAAGGCTAATGAATTGGCGCAAGGCTTGAAAGTAACCGTCGATTTCGACGGGTTTCACCTAGTATTTTCTTATATGTTGCGGTTAATTTAGTGGTGTTTAGTGTTTAGCTACACAGCTGTTTCAATTGCAATACCTATTTTAAAACTAAGCTGTTTACAGTTGTCTTTTGTTTCTAAAAACATTGGAAAGTGTTAATTATATCTTTCTATAATCAATGGTAAGAGTGTAAACTTGAATTTTGGAACAGGCAAAGTTATACATGATTATACTTACTTTCTATATGATTTGCAAATCTTAACCAGCTCTTTGTAAGTTATTTGTCAATAAAATATTTACATTAATGAAAATTGTGTTGTAATTAGCAACAAGGATATGTTAAAGATGAATTAATATCAAGATATCTCTTTTGACCTAATTATTTTAATTGACAATGTCAGTTAGTGAAAGTAATAACTTCAACAAACATAATAAACAGTTTATTCATTAAACTAGGCAGTAGTACAACAAAGTAGGTATTAAAACTAAAAAAGCGCCTTCATTAAAAAACATAAAATTATCTTAATGATACAAAATGCAAATAAAAGAATACTGATATTCAAAACAAATATTAACCTAATCAACATAATCAGCCATATCTCTCATCCTCCATGCCCCCATCACCATCCACCCCTCATCAGGCCTGAAATAGATACAGAAAAACAATTAGTATTAATGACTATATTCTGAATTTATGTGCTACTTAATTATGATATAAAAAGTATTATTATGGCTATTAAATTGAAATGTCTATGGATTTCCACTTTTGGCTGAACTTGTTAAACCAAATATTATTTCAATAGGGTTAACACTATGAGTTCGAGGTGCGGGAATTCTTGCCCTGCAGTACCGGCACCACTGGTGCGGGCGGGATATTTTGTCCTTACAACATTGCTTCAGTGTGAGCTAAGCCTCGCAAGGGGAAATCCTACTTATAAATTATTTACAGCCTACATGAAATAAAATCCAGGATTGATAAGTATTAAAATTGAGGAAATGGCAAAAATTACCATATTTCTCTTCAACACTAGTCTTTTTTCGTTTTTCGCTTCGTTCCCCATCTCCTGTTCCTCTGCTACCTATTCTTCCGCCTCAGCCTCTCCCCTGAAACCTCCAATGTCGGAGAATATTAATTACAACTCCCCCATTGTACTGGTACTGCTATGAACAGAAATATTGCAAAAAATTAGTATCAGCCTACAAATAATATTAGTCTAACAAAGTTTAAGTGTTCACTCCTTCCTAGATTTTGTGACATCCAAATATATACCACTAATAGAAGAAAATGGAGTGAAGGTTTAAAACCATTAGTATTTTTATCAATAATTTAAAAAGTATGATAACAAAATTATAACTCGTCAGGTATAGCATGACCGGTGGGGTGCGTTAGAGGGAGGGCAGTAGGCCCCGAGGCCACCGGTCATGATATACCTGACGAGTTGTACAGGACAAAATGATTTGATCTAACATAAATTATCTGTAATTTATAAAAATACAGGCCTATGTTTAAAGAAATTATCAAAGAACTATGGTTCTTCAAAACGAAAAACTTCAAACCGAAAAAGTAAATCGGTCCCGGGTCCAATCGCCAATGAGATTGTGTCTATTAAATTCCAAGGACACTAGCGCTTGCAATGGTGAACAACCAAACCAAGTATCCATGTCGCTGTCACATTACACGTGATTGGCCGAACATCGTCTCTGGATGGAAAACTAGCCAATGAGGTCGTGTCTATCAAAGTGGCGAGGCCACTAGCGCTCGCAGTGGTGATCAACCAAACCAAATATCAACCCTGGAGTTGAAAACTAGCCAATAAGGTTGTCTTTACTAAATAGGCAAACAGCTAGGATTCATAACGGCAATTTACCCGCTCTGAACTGACTTAATCCGCACCGATTCGTACCGTTCAGTGTCAGTATTGGTATCGAACTCAAAACAGGCAAGTATCGAGTATCGACGATACCTCAATACCGCTGGTATCGAGAGTATTTTGGTATTGAATATTGGTATCGGCCCACCTCTAGTAAATTCGTCAAACTAAGTTCACAAACCAACAAGATTGGAGCACAGGAGCGTAATAACACGGAGTTTCAAAATTTCAACTTTTATCAGACAAATCATTAATAGATGTCACAATGCTCAGCACTCAAAGAACCTAAAAACAAGGGAATCTTACGACAGTGACCAGAGATATGTTGTGCAGAGTTACTAATTTTATTTTCATTCTGTTAAAAAAACCTATATTACTTAAAACCCCTAAGTAAAAAGTGAAAAACGTATAAGTATACATTTATAGAAGTGCACAACAAGTAATTAAGAAAGCAAATAAATAATGTGTTAAGTATTGATAACAAAGATAAAAGCTACGACACTAACTTGAGTTTCTGCGGCCTCATCCTTTTTCAAATCAGGTATGTTCAATTGAGAGTGCAACGGATTGCTTCCACTAGGGCAACTTGTACTGCAGCCAGCTTCATAGTCATTATTGAACTCTGTAATAATAAAACAGGATAAATACAATATAAAACAGCGACAGCAGGGTTATGATTTTTGATAATTGAAGAAAACCTTCTACGGGTAATTTGAAATAATAATCTAAAAATGTTTTAAACAATACACATAATATCTAAGAGATAATCATATGAAAGATTACCATTAAATTGTTATTAGCATGTTTTGTACATTTTTTTTAAACCTACAGTCATTTCAAAATCAAATGCCATTCAAATAGTAATTCAACACCTAACTTGTTTAGGGTCTGTAAACCTGTTAAAAATGTATACATTAACAAGGGTCTTCTTTGAACAATCATAACTTACCTGTTGGATTAAATGAAAATGAAAATGAAAATGAAATCAACTTTATTCATACTTTGCAAACATGTGCACGAATGGCAATGTTAGGAATAGGCAGACCACCCTAGTTTATACTTATATGGCAATACATCAGCTGATTTTTTGTTTGCAATCTGGGTGACAAATGGTGTAATCTGGGTATCATGAATGGCATACTGTTAGGTATGCCTAAATTAAGAGCTGCATCCAATTGCAGATCCGTTGATAAGGACTGTTCAAATTCATTGTTCATATCTTTATCATGTAAATTATAATTCTTGCATAAATAGTTAAGCACAGGGTCTGGACCTACTACTTTTTCTAACAGGACTGACCTAAAACATACAACATAGATATGACCAAATTACTAAACTGCCTAATAATTTAACATAATTTTTTTATATACATAAAGAGGAAGAATGTAACCCATAAAAACTCCTAATCCTGTATAAATGGACATTAATTTATTCATTAAATTGCATTTGTCATATTCAAAATACAATTACAGTAGTATCGCGCAATCATGACACGTTAAGTCATAGACATTGGTTTAGTAATAAAAACTGTGACGTTTACAATCATAAGTAAAGTTGTGGTGTTGGCGATAACGTGATTGTTTTTGCGATCATAGCAACTCGGAAATACCGTGGTCGTCACTCAGGGAGGTGGCAACAGTCGTGAGCATATTCACGGTCCTGGCAATACAGCGATTGTCTCCTGTGATCGTGCACTGTGAATGTCTATGGCGGTAACAGTAAAATTCCTGTGATCATCTCAAGTGCTCGTGATTAACTTACCATTTTAAAAGAGAACCAATGGAACGCCATCAATGAATTGAGACTAATTGGCTGTTCATGATCATTGTAGTCCTTGGTTCATGCTGAATTTAAGTATGATTCTTGGTGTCTAGGTTGGATACCCAGATACCCTGTTTAAATATGTGTAGGCCTATAGTGCACCTATCTCACACTTTCCACATTTGTTCCAATAAGAGAAAATTAGCTGTAAGCATGCGCCTAATGTTAGAGCTACGTACCCTGAGGGATTTCAGGAACGTGGGTATGCCTAAATGTTACTCGGTAGCATAATGTAGCTTTCTGTAAAGATTCAGTCAATTTGGTTTAGATAGTATTTTTTGTTTGGGTATTCTCACACATACATACACACACAGACAGACATCACAGCTTTCTTTGATAAACTTAAGTAGGTACTTACATGTGATCATCATATGGGAAGTTTTCCCTTACAGGGAGGTGACAATTTTTAGGAGCCAATATATTTATATATTGCCAATATATTGAACAATATATTTATTTATCGTAGTTGTCAGCTGGTAAGTATCAATTTGTTAATATCGATAGGCCAATATCAAATTTAAAAAATCAATATATCGAAAAGAAATCATCGGCAATAATGAATGTTCCCTTTAACACGTTCGCTGCTACCGACGTTCCGCAACTTCAGCAGGGCCACGGCGCCAGGAGCTAGGAACGTTATGGAATGTCGCCATTCATTGTTGTTTAACGTTTCATTGGATCAGCCAGCTCGTCACGAGCATCCTATAATTCTTTGTAGCTAGTGGGGACGTACTTTCCGTCCGTCCCCGGCATCTAGCGCTCAGCAGCGAACGTGTTAACAGGAAAGGGCCGTTTCGGCTACTTACAGGTAGCAGCAAGACGAGTTAGGCCTAAGTTAATATTACCAGATGACGAGATAACTTAACGGCCAAAGATTGAACATGGTACCTCAAGTAAGTATGCACAAGGTGGATATTTACCTACGACTCTCTTATTACCAGGTGGTGCACATTAGAGAACAATTTAATCGTTAACCCTCCAACTGGCACATAGAAAAGTCTGTAGTAGCAAGGCAATTTTAGTGATTTTGCAGACATATTTTTGAAAATTCATATAAATTCAACTAATAAAGTAAACCATATACTTGAATTGTTCGTAAAATAATGAAGAATCTGAAAATGGTAAAATTTCAAGTAGTTGGAAGAATAATTTTTGAAACAAAGAAAAAAAAACTATTTCCAATTTGGAAATTTGAAAGCAAAATTGTGCTGCAAATGCAGAAATTTTTTATATGAAATCCAAGATAATACAAAACGATAGCAATTTATTTCTGTACATAAAAAAGTAAAAAGATTCAATTAATAATTTTTTTTTTGCTGAGTTATGGCCAAACAACTAAAAAACGGCAAATTTCCCATAAGCTTGTGAACAGGTGAAGAAGCACGTTTAAACAACAAGTGATGACGTTGGAACAGGTTGTGTAACATACGGCAATAAAAGTCCACTATGCACAGAATTTCATGGGCTATCAGATGGTATAGTAATACCAGAAACAAAAGAACCCTGGGCCGTTTCGAGCCGCGCAGGTTTGAATGGTACTCCACACCTACCAGCGTGAACCACATGATCTTTTCGTTTCTGTGCAGGTTGTTTTGTTCGTGGTATGTCTATATATGTCATTATAACAAAAGTTATAAATTTTGTTGAAACATATGTGAATTACTACCACGTTTTTAATAGTCGCGCTGCCAGTTCAGATACACGTAAAAAGGTGGCTGAGGTATTATTTTTCTATTTGAGTTATTTATAAAGATATCGATATAATTGATCGATATAAAGCTGAGCATAAATAAAACAAAAACCGTCCATATCAACTTCACAACCAACAATACAAAAACTAACGACGACTGGTCACAGCTAGAGATCCCAACTGCAGAAACCACCAAATTCCTCGGCATCACAATAGACAACAAATTAAACTGGAACAAACATACTGATCAACTCTGCAAAAAACTGGCATCAGCAATATTTGTAATAAGAAGAATAAGAAGTATAACCAACCAAGAAACAGCCCTCATAGCATACCATTCATTATTCACTTCACATCTACGCTACGGAATAGCAGCTTGGGGATCCACAGCTCAAAAAAATATGGAAAAACTTTTCACATTGCAAAAAAAAGCAATCAGAACAATAACAAGATCAGAAGAATCAACCAATCACAAGCCCCTTTTCATCCAACTCAACATAATGACATTAATCTCACTCTATATCTGCGAAACCATAATCCTTACCATCCGATCCAATCCCAACCTAAGACAATCGCAGCACAACCACAACACCAGAAGTAAAACAAACATAGACATACCTCAACACAGACTTCAAAAAACAAACAACACACCCACATACTCTGGATCAATGTTCTACAATCAATTACCCCAACACCTAAAATCAAACACACCCAATTTTGAAAAAAAATTAAAATTGTATCTAACTGCAAGGTCGTACGACTCAATAAAAGAATACATAGAGGAGCACGCATACACAAAACATAAAACATAAATACATAAATACACGAAACCTGAACACAGAAAACCCTGAAAAAGGAAGAAAGTTGACGACTCCCCGATCAAACGATTGTGGCGAGGACACCGGAAGTAAGAAGTAAGTAAGTAAGTAAGTAAGTAAGTAAGTAAGTAAGGTCTATATCTCAATATAGAAATGAACTGCCGGATGCAGTGGTACCACCCGCTGGTTCCGTAGACTAAAAATACCCCTTGCTATTATTTATTGAAAATATCCATTTTTGGTAGTTTTGTGATGCTTACATAACTTAGAGAAACTGACTTCGCGCAAAATTTTCTTCCACTTTATCACTATGTTATATTGATCCATCAGTGTTATAGCCTAAATGTTATTTAGGCTATGTAATAAAATGAAAGTTTAGTACCTCATCTTTCCATTGGTATACAATTTACGTAAGTTAGCGATCGTTTTTTAACTGTTTATATGCAATTTGAAATAACCTTGCAAAATGCAACTACCCTTATAGTCGCTGCCACTACAGACACCAACTACCGCGACTATTATAGTCGCTGTGCCACTTGAAGGTTTAAGGGAAACTTAAAGTAAGTAGGCCTAGTAAAGGCTCTCTTCTGAAAATGGACAACTAGGCCTAAGGCCTTGTTTAACAATAGGTTTAAACACAAGTTACATGTGGGCTGTATTTGCGATGCCACTCATTCAAAGTAACTATAGAACCCTAACTTATGGCTGCTAAGTAGCCTAGGCCTCTCCTAACATGCCATAATAGGTCTAAAAGTTAACTTAAGTTAAGCCTCGTTCACACAGGGGCAAGTTTACAAGCTACTCGCCAGCGTGTAAGAAGCCGGCGAGTTGGCAAGTGTGCGTGTATTCGTTCACAGGGGGCTTGTCCACTCGCCTACTCGCAGACGTGTAGAAAGACGTCGGCGAGTGCGCTTGTAGACGTTCAATAAAGCTCAATAAAGTTCAATAAAGCTTGAATCCTCCGACATCTTTGAATAACATGCGCACAAGCAGCTGTGTTCACACTAGGCTACTTTACACGCCTACTCGCTCAAAAGCTGGCGAGTTGGCATGTAAAGTAGTAGTCCAGTCAATCTGTTCCTAAAATAGGCCGATAGACAAAAAAAAAATACTAACAGGCTGGATTTTTTCCCATCGACTACTACCTTGTAGACAAGTCTCCAGCCAAAAGTCCCCAACCCTAGCCCTCTTGCTTTTTTCCCTAGAGCCCGCCAAAGTTTTTAAGGGTGGATAAATGCAGTACTTTATAAAATCGCTTATATTTCAGTAACTATTTCAGATATA